GTTCTCTCTGGGTACTCCGGCTTTCTCCCACAGTCCAAAAACATGACTGTTAGGTTGATTGGCTTCTCTAAATTGTTGAGTGTGTGTCTGGTGACCTGTCCAGGGTGTACCCTGCCCCACTTGGGACAAGTGTGTAAGAAGATGGATGGTTTACTGTCAGTGGATGATTTAATGGGGGGGGGATTTAAACTCAAAAATGTAAGTTATTACAGGGGATGGTAATCTGAATTTAAAATAACATTTAAGTTTTTACAGACTTGAAAGTTCCAGTAACTTGAATTAAAAAAACTTAGTTGGCAGAACTTGAAAAACGTAGCTGACACAACTTAATAAGTGTAGTTCTACAAAACTTAAAAAATGAAGTTGATGCCTTCAACTCAAAAATTCTGTGCAGCCAGTTGCCTTGAAATTTTGAGTTGAACTAACTTTTTCGTTTTTACAGTGTAGCAGCATTATTCTATTACTTCCTGCCGTAACATCTAGTAGTTGATCACGTAACTCTTGTCTTTTATCAAAAGACAAGATTTTTTTTTTTTAAGTTGGCATATATTCAGTCAACTAATTTTTTAATATAAAGTATAAAGTACAATTTGTGCAGTTTTGCAGCAGTTTACATGGTCAATGGAAACACAGTTATTCTGATGAATAGGATTATCAGGTTTGTCCGTAATATTCTTCATTTTATGAGATTCTTCTGTATAAAATCATCTACAGAGGTTTTAGAGAAATCCCCAGGCAGAACAAAGCTCCTCTTCCCCGTTTCAGATCATAGAGTAAGTGTTAATGACTAAGTGTCAAAGTCAATGACTTGATTCGGACTGTATGATGTGTTTGGATTGCCTCTGTAAAATGCCTTGAGATGACATGTGTTGTGAATTAGTGCTATAAAAACAAGCTAAATTCAATTCAATTTACTTCAATTCTGTTTATTTATATAGCACTAATTCACACATGTAACCTCAAGGCACCTCATAAAGACCATTCAATCAAATCTGTTAAAAGTTTCTGTTAAGGAAAACCAGTTGGTTGCATCGACATTGACTTGCAAGATACTGGATGAGCTAGTGGCAATGATTCAGCAATCCCTCGAGTGAATTTAATTAAGCTGAATTTAATTGGATTTGGTTGAATTGGATGGAATGGAATTTATTTGGGTATGATTAGAGTTTAGTTTGCTTGCACTTTTCCCAAAAAGTAACTCCACAGTTATTAATTATTCAGCTTTTATATTAAATTTTCACACAAACACTTTTAAAGACAATAACCCTAAGAATAAATATACGTTTCAAGGATGAAATGACAATATTACCATAAACAACAACATACGATTGCTTGCAAATAAGATGGGTGCAAAATCAAAAGCTACGTAAAGCTGTACAATCAAAGGCAAAGCTCAGATATCAACGTTAAGATAAGTACTTTGAAAGGCAAACAGCCCAAACAATATATATGTATGTTTACTTTAAAGATGAATACTCTAACAATATTATTGACAGTATTAAATGTTTTGCAAATGTTATGGGGGCAAGAAGCTTTGTGATCAAAACCAAAACTCAAAAATGTCAAAGTGTCATTATAAAGTTCTACTTCCTATTTCAGTGAAATGTGTTATAAATTAAACTTAAAAACATTGTATCACAATGCGCAATCAACAAGGAAGTGGACAAAGCTGACCCTGGGTTTTAACCCATCTAAAAGCTACATTTTTGCTTGCTTTATTGATTCTAAACCAGTTTTTTGTCTTTAGGATCATCATCCCCTTCAAGTTGCAACAAGTTGGCTGCTCTTTAATATTCAAATGTTTTGTGCAATGCACCACTGGATAAAAGTCATGACACTACCACCGCCTTGCATGACAGCTCGTAAAGTGTTTGGTAGATTTCAAAGCCTTAATGTAAAGCTATGGTTCTTGGAGTGGGAGCAAATATGCAGGCAAGCTTGAGCAGAAAGATGAGTAGTAAAAATGATTAAATGAAAAATCATGAAAAAACATTACAAATACTGCTGGCAAGGCATGAAGAGAGTAGAGGCAAGAACAAGTAGGCATAATCTGAGAGTATTTTATGGAGCTGATTGGTGCGACAAGGCATAAACAGAACTAAGCAGAACCACAAGGACACAGTTTAACCCAGACTATAAACACAGGACAAACTAAAAGTTAACATTACAATAACTTGAAAGCTTAAAATAAATTCAATTCAGTTTATTTATAAAGCGCAAATTCACAACACGTCATCTGAAAATTCACAACACGTCATCTGAACGTTTTCTAAGGAAAACCAGTTGATTGCATCGAATTATTGACTCCAATGCAATCCCTCACACTATGCATGATAGTAGCGACAGTGGAGAGGAAAAACTCCCTTTGAACAGGAAGAGACCTCCAGCAGAACCAGACTCAGTGTGAGCGGCCATCTGCTGAGGCCGACAGGGGTTCAAGGAGACAGAAACAGAGATAGAAAAAGCAGCTGTAAAAGGAGGCCCCATCCAGTAAACACACAGCCAGGCACATGAGCTCTGAGCCAGCTCCCATGTCAGAGGATGAAGAGAGCACATCCAGCCAGTCACAGTCAGAGAAACAGGACTACACTGTATAAATAAAGAAATACAACCAGGTAAAATAACAGAAAATACAAAGACCTGTAAAAAAAAATTATAAACAACAAGAAAAGCTCTAAAAAAAAAACAGCAAACCAAATGAGAACACTTCTAAATTTGATCATAAACTTCTTTTATAAGCGATATATAACCATCTATGTTTTTACACTCATGTTTCTCGTAATCATGACTTTACAGATATTGGCTACAAATATTTAACTCCTCCCTGCCAGTAAGTGGCGCACTCTTGCTTGCTTGCTCTTACTCTGTAGAATTTGTGAGCCAATTTCTATGTTCACTATCGTTAACCTTTGGTTAGCGTTAGCTAACACAGCATTAGCTCACTTGTCCAGAAGAAAAACATGGATGGCTTCTCAGCTTATTTGCTTCCTTAAATGTTATCACTACAACTTTTTGTTTTAGAGTCATGCCGAATGTTAGTGTAAATCTTGAGGAAAAAAATATGGTATACAAACATTTTGTATGTATATTTCAAATGCAAAAACGGATTTTGCACAAATAGCAATAGTACTGTAGATTAAAGTCACATGAGATGGAGCTCAGGTGTGCCAGCTCGTAGTTTTTCTGTAATAGCTCTAAAAATGGGCTCACATCGCCTCCTTTACTATATTGGGCCCTGTAGGGTTGGTCTGGGGCCACCCACACCTCCTATTAAGCATACTTTCCTCCTGAAGAAGCTTTGTTAATCCTTTATATAGTACAAGAGCAGGCTCATGCATATGTTTCCAGATGTTTACGGAAACACGTTAATACTAAATACTAAGCTGCAGCTACTTATGCATACCACCCTGATCAACATTGTGTAATCACAGTAGGTTCTGAATACGACAGACATAGAAAGGATTCCGTTGCTCTTGAAGCTTTTTCTTTTTAAATTGTCTTTGGTTGTCTGTTGTCTTCTTTTTGCTTTTATGCGCTCCGTTTTCCGTTCCTCTAATCTCATACAGGTACAGTATGGAAGCAGACTTCTGGGAGTTACTGAATATCTAGGCTATTGTCTGTATTTGTTGTTTTGATTTGTTTTCTCTCTTTAGATACTATTTCATGTCTCTGTCTCCCTCCTTCTCTCCCTTTAGTTTTTATTCCCCCTTTTTGATTACCCTTTCCATTTCCTTTGTATGGGATTTTACTCCCCAAGTAATGTTCAATTAAGTTTAATATACAAATAACAAGTAGAACCTTATGGAAACAGTCATACTGCTCTGCTTCTGAAAGCAAAGCTGTTGGGCTATTAGCTAACTGTGGAACATCAATTCCCAGAGCAATAACAGCTAAAAGGGTCACATCTGAAAAAAGTTCAATAAAATAAAGAAAATAATAAAAATGGCTTCTTCAGAAAAAACAAACCAAAGGGTGCACATTGGTCAAGTTAATGCCATCGTATAGCCTGGCCAGTAAACTGTTGTTGACTCTGGCCCGATCTGGCCAGATCAATCACAAGGCGGAAAGCGCAGGACTGGCAGTGGATAAAATTACCCATAATGCAGTAGCGCTTTTCTGTTAGCGAGCACAACAGAGCAATGTTGCAATGAAAATAAAGAACGTAGTAGAGAGATAAACCTTATGTCCTCAGATTTCTTAGGTAAATCTGGCAGAAATCATTAATTGGAGTTTCCTTAACAGCTTAACATGTTTCATGGACTATAAAATTACAAAAACAGTGTGTTGCTTGGCATTTGTAGTTACCTGATTGGTACTTACCTGGTTGGTACTCCCACTTTGGAAATCAAGTTGTACCAGTCCTTTACCAGAACGATATGCGATGTATACTTTGTATGAGTCTGGCTGGCCAAGTTAGCCAACTTACCTGACCACACTGTATCCTCGTTTTGCTTGTTTGTTTTGTTGTTTGCCTTGAATCAGGGAAATATAACAAAGAGAAAAAGCCTTTTCTCAGCTTTATTACGGATCTTGCAAACCCTGAGCTCTGTTTTACATGACTTCAACCTTCAACCTACCTCCATTAACTTACTCCACAACTTAACTACATAATGGCTGAAGTGGTGTTTTCAGTTCAATGCAGTAAGGGATGCTCTGATCTTTATTATATCTATATATTTATCTATATTATAGAAAGCAAACAACCTCTCCACAGATGCATGGCCTAACACAGAGGAGCGACCTCCTCTGGACAAGACTCAGCGATACCTTATGGAAAAAGGACATTTTTTTCAGGACCAGAATGTTCACATTTTGAACAAAGAAGACAGGTGGTTTGAGAGGGGCATGAAGGAAGCCATCTATGTTAAGAAATAAAAACAGAGGGGGTGGAGTAGGATTTCAGCTTTCAAAAACCTACAATGCAATGATAGAGTTGATTCCTTCCCACTATCTTCCCCCATACATAGGAACAGAACACCTCACCTGTTCAGCCAGGCCAACAATTCCCTCTAACAACCCCCGTTTCAGAGACATAGACAAATATTGGGCATTGAAGGCTAACAAAGAACCCAAACGACTGCCCATTCCTATAAGGGCCGGCTCCGTTTGTCCGGTTCAGTCTGCATGTTTTCTAAGCCAAAGCAACTCTTTGTTTTTGGTCCACTCTATAAAGCCTTGAATTTAACGCTATTTCTGACATTCTGAATTGAAAAAGCTTCCTGGATGGGAAACGAAATGTCTTCAAACTTGGAAACAAAGTCCAGTGGATTGTTTTTTTTTTTTACTTTTTTTGAAAAGCCTGAGGAATCATTTGAAATAACTCATGTTTCCACCCTTTAGGTGACAAAGTTCGCATTGTGCCTTTAAGGCTTTATATGTGAGAAGCAGGATTTTAAATTCTAATCTGGATTAAACAGGAAGCCAATGAAGAGAAACCAAAGGAGGAGAAATATGATCTCCCTTTTTAAGGGTAGAACTATAGAAAAACAGCTTGCTTTTGATGTCAGACATTAGCCTTTAATCCTGGTCCGCAGTAACATATCTGCTGTGTGTTTTAGAGCTGCCTCAGCTCCAGCACAGTGGATCAAATGACTGCATCACCTCCTCAGTAACCATTAAGGCATTTACAAATTAAAACAACAACCTGTCCAAGTCACAGTTGTGAAAGAGCTTCTAAAAATGTTTCCCTTATCTTCTGTCTCCTCTTTTAATGATGCCCTGGGTAACTGCCCCAATTATAAACGCAATACACCAGCTTGAGCTTTATGACACTAATACATCTTAATAGAACTTAACAAATCATTAGTTACCTCATTAATCAAATATATTCTATATTTGCCCTAGTTAGAGATATATAAAGCTTCACTTCATTGGCTTCCTGTTAAATCCAGAATAGAATTTAAAATCCTCCTCCTCACATATAAAGCCTTAAATGGCCAAGCTCCATCTGATATCAGAGATCTGATTGTTCCTTATGTTCCTAACAGAGCACTTCGCTCTCAATCTGCAGGTTTACTAGTGGTTCCTAAAATTTCTAAAAGTAGAATGGGAGGCAGATCTTTTAGTTATCAGGCTCCTCTCCTGTGGAACCAACTACCAGTTTTAGTCCGTGAGGCAGACACCCTGTCTACTTTTAAGGCTAGGCTTCAAACTTTCCTTTTTGATAAAGCTTATAGTTAGAGTGACTCAGGTTATCCTGAGCATCTCTATAGTTATGCTGCTATAGGCTTAGACTGCTGGAGGACATGGGGACCCCTTTTTCATCATTCTGCATCATTCTATCTCTATTCTTCCACTCTGCAGAATCTGTTAATTCAATCTCTAACATTATGCTCTCTCCGCTTTTCCTCATAGTAGCTTTGCCTCATCTGTTCCTGTTTGGCTGTGTCATCATCCTGAAAAGAAATATCAGCTGCGCTGCTGCCATCAACATCTTTGTTTATAAATGTTGGAGATCGGCCTGTTTTTCCAGTGTAGTCCTGTTTCTCTGGCTGTGACTGGCTGGATCTGCTCTCTTCATCCTTTGACATGGGAGCTGCATTGGAGCTCGTCTGCCTGGCTGTGTGTTTCCTGGACGGGGCCGCCTTTTACAGCTGCTTTTTGTATCTCTGCTTCTGTCTCCTTGAACCCCAGTCGGCCTCAGCAGATGGCCGCTCACACTGACCCTGGTTCTGCTGGAGGTTTCTTCCTGTTGAAAGGGAGTTTTTCCTCTCCACTGTCGCTACAAGCATGATTAGTGTGAGGGATTGCTGAAGAGTCAATAAGTCGATGCAATCAACTGTTTTTTTCCTTAGATAGAACACTATGAATCAATTTCACTGTATGATCTGGTGAATTTTAAAGTAAATTGGCCGTATAGAAATAAAATAAATAGAATAATTCCTAGACTGTGGCTTCCACAAATTGAGGAGTCAGGCTTGTTGGGTGTTTTTCCAGGTCAGCATCCAACCTGTTGATGCTCACAGATGCATTGTTGTCAAAATGGGAATAAAGACGCACATTTCTAAGAAATCTCACTCAGACTAAGGTGAAAACATCATTCCTGCGGTAAATTAGCAGCAGCCTCTGTGCGCTGACCGAGGTGCTGAAAAAAAAAAAATCATATCGCTCTCTCTCTCTCTCCCCCAACCTTTATTCTTCCTCCTCCCCCGTCCGTCTGCTCTCCCTCTCTCTCCCTCTCTCTCTCCCACTCAATTTCTCCAGCCGCCGATCGACACTTGCAGCCATTTTACGCAGGGTGAACCCAATCATGTCGTGAGGGAAGCGGGGAGGAACAGGGTCTGCGTGGATCACCTGGAACTGCTGCTGCAGGGACCTATCCGAGGAAAATGGTGAAGAGGAAAAGCTTGGATGAAAATGAACCGGAATGCGGGAAGGGAGTACCATTCCCCATCCAGACCTTCCTCTGGAGGCAGACCAGGTTAGTGTCACACATAACAGGTGTTTCTTTTTCTCTCCTTCTATTTTGTCATTGGTTGGATGCATCTGGTTTCGGATGTAAAGTGTTTTTTGTTTAATCAATAAAGGAGGTGATGTTTTGATCCAGGGTACCGCACCTGGATGAGATATTTGCATCAAAACAAAGTAGGGCAGCAGAAGCAGACCTCCCTGCTCTGTCTAATCTGATTTCCAATCATTTTAATGTCATTTCAGTGCTTTCCTGCGGCCAAAGTTGGGGAAACAGTATGAAGCCTCCTGTGTGGTGAGTCATTTCATGATGCTCTCTCTCTCTCTTCCTGGTTTTAATCTGTTTTTGCCTTAATGCACCTGCAGGTTGAGAGATTTTTACATTTAATAGATTAGATCTTCCATTTCCCTTTTTTCTAATACCCAGGAGCTGTATGGAGTGCATTTTGTTCCAATATTGTTGCAAAGAACACGTTGTAAATGGAAGTAAAAA